CAGTGCTTAGAAGCTGGAAAGGTGGCAGCTTTTATCACTGTAGACTCAGTACTGTGATGTCCAGACAGAGTGTATATGTGTGTATAACTGAAAAGAATCATTTGATCCACCTATCTGTCTTCTGTGTATCTGTCCCTTCCTCCAGAATATGAGGGGCTTGTTTGGCCCTACCTGTTAGAGAGATGGGGCACTCAACATCTTCATAGAGAAATTAGGGATGATAAGTGTAGGTATTTGACAGTGAAGAGGTTACAGGGATTGAGGGAAGGCCTTTTGAAAAATGTATTAGACAAACTAAAGCTTGGTGCAAAGGAGTTGAATCCAAGTCAGAAACCTGTTTCGTAATTCTGACTCTACCAGCTGGGTGATCTTGGGCAAGTTACTTAACTTTGGCTGGGCTTAGTAGCTCATGCTTGTAATCCTAGCACTCTCAGAAGCCAAGTCAGAAGGATTGCTTGAGGCCAGGAAATCACAAGCAGCCTGAGCAAGAGCAAGACCGGATCTCTTGCTAAAATAGAAAACTTAAACAGCCATGGTGCCAGCTACCTAGGAGGCTGAGGCAGGAGGATTGCTTGAACCCAGGAGTTTGAGGTTGCTGTGAACTATGGTGACACCACTGCATTCCACCCTGGGTAACAGAGTGAGATACTGTCTCAAAAAAAAAAATTTACTTAATTCGTTAAGCCTTAGTTTCCTCAATCTATAAAACAGGGGGAAAAACCCAGATCTAGCCCATTTGACAGGGCTGATGTGCCATATCAAGTGTCAGCAAATTATAGCCTGTGGATCAAATGGGGCCTACAGCCTATTTTTTGTAAAGTTTTACTGGATCACAGTCACACCCATTCATTACATGTTGTCTGTGGCTGCTTCCTTCATATAGTAGCAGATTGAGTAGTTGGGACAGAGACACTGTGGGCCACAGTACTAAAATACTTGTCATCTGGCCCTTTGCAAACAAAGTTTGCTGACCCTTGTGCCTAACAGTTATGAGGAGCAGGGCATGGTGGCTCACACCTATAATCCCAGCACCCTCCCTGCCTGGGAGGCCAAGGCAGGTGTCCGCATCCCAACTAGAAGTAGAAGAAAACCTTGCTGGGCATGGTGGCACATGCCTGTAGTGCCAGCGACTCAGGAGACTGAAGCAGGAGGATCACTTGTGCCCAGGGGTTTGAGGTTGCTGTGAGCTATGATGATGCCACGCACTCTACCCAGGGTGACAGAATGAGGCTCTGTCTCAAAAAAAAAAAAAAAAAATGGTTATGAGGTCATGCTGTACTATCATTAGTTTTTTTAAAAAACTGAATTATATATCAGTTAATAGAGTTATATGGGAGAGATCTCTGCAGTTCACAGGAAATATAAGGAAAGCCATGATTTGTTAGCTGTTAATGCTTTTTCTTGAAAAAATCTATTTTATGTTTGGCAAATCCTGCACAGGCAGCTGGGAAGCAAGGCAGAGGGCCTTATTGGCTTAGAGGTCTTGGCTGTTGTTTTCTGTATCAAGGATAGGACTTAAAATATTTTTCATTTTGCGCTAGAATGAACCATTTTGTAAGCTCATCAGACAGGTCAGGGTGGGGCTTCTGGTTCAACCAGGATTTCCAGGCACCTATTATGTGTCAGGTCTTAGTTCTGGTACTGTGGACACCAAGTCCCTGCCTGCATGGAGATCATATTCTAGCCTTCAGATGTGTCTGTTAAGTCTTTAAGAAGACATCAGAAAGTAAACTAAGACTACCTTTTTGATATATCACCCCCACTTTTTAATTGTGTATTATTTCTGAATAGGTTATACACAAACATGGTAAACAACTTAAAAGATTTTACAGTGAAAATCTGTCTATCCCTGACACCTAGTTTTAATTCCCTACCTTAGATGCAATCCTAGTTACCAGTTTGTTTGTTTGTTTGTTTGTTTCTTTCTTTCTTTCTTTTCTTTTCTTTTTCTTTTTTTTTTTTTTTTTTAGATAGAGTCTTACTCTGTCACTCCAGGGTAGAATTGCTGTGGTGTCATAGTTCACAGCAACCTCAAACTCTTAGGCTCAAAAATCCTCTTGCCTTAGCCTCCCCAGTAACTGGGACTATAGGCACCCACCACAATGCCCAGCTAGTTTTTTTTTTTTTTTTTGGTCAATTTTTTTATAGAGACAGAATCTCTCCTGGCTATTTTTAGAGACCAGGTCTCCCTCTTGCCTTAGGTTGGTCTTGAACTCCTGAGCTCAGGCTATCCACTTGCCATGGCCTCCCAGAGTGCTAGGATTATAGCAGTGAGCTACCACACCCGGCCCTGTTACCAGTTTCTTATATACCCTTCCAATGGTGTTCTAAATGTATACAAGCATTTATATCTATATGTATATATATATTTTCACTCTTTAAGTTTCCCTGTCCTTCCTAACACTTTTCATTTTAAAAAATTGCAAGCCTGTAGAAAAGTTGAAAGGATAATACTATGTAACCTTCACTTGGATTCCCAGTGGTTACCATTTTACCATATTTGCTTTATTTCTCTCTCCTCCCAACTCCTCACATACACACACACATTATTTTCTCTCTCTCTCTCTCTTTTTTTTGAGACAGAATCTCCCTATGTTGCCCTTGGTAGAGTGCTGTGGCGTCTTAGCTCACAGCAACCTCCAACTCTTGGACTTAAGTGATTCTCTTGCCTCAGCCTCCCAAGTAGCTGAAACTACAGGCACCTGCCACAATGCCCAGCTATTTTTTTTTTTTTTTTTTTAGGGGACAGGAGCCTCAAGCTGTCCCCCTGGGTAGAGTGCCATGGCATCTCAGCTCACAGCAACCTCCAACTCCTGGGCTCAAGCGAGTCTCCTGCCTCAGCCTCCCAAGTAGTTGGGACCACAGGCACCCGCCACAACGCCCGGCTATTTTTTGGTTGCAGCCGTCATTGTTGTTTGGCGGGCCCAGGCTGGATTTGAACCCGCCACCTTGGGTGTACGTGGCTGGTGCCTTAGCCACTTGAGCCACAGGCGCCGAGCCCCCAGCTATTTTTTGTGTTGTAGTTGTCAATGTTGTTTAGCAGGCCCAAGCCAGGTTTGAACCTGCCAGCCTCCGTGTATGTGGCCAGCGCCCTAACCATTGAGCTATAGGCGCCAACCCTCTTTTCAAGTTTTAAAAGTAACAGATACCATTATAGTTCACCTCTTAAAACTTTAGCAGGTATCTGCTAACAAGAAGGATATTCTCATAATTTCATCATCCCACTCAAGAATTTTCTCACTGATGTCCAGTAGAACCTCCATAGTTGACTACCCTGCTACATTGACCACCTCCTTAAATTGACCTAATTTTCAGGCTGGTGGTATGGCTCATGCCTGTAATCTCAGCACTTTGGGAAACTGAGGCAAGTGGATCTCCTGAGCTTAGGAGTTTGAGACCAGCCTGAGCAAGAGTGAGACCCTGGCGCTACCAAAAAATAGAAAAAAAAAAAAAACCTCAGCACCTGTAGCATGGTGGTTATGGCTTCAGCCACATACACTGAGGCTGGCAGGTTCGGACCCGGCCCGGGACACCTAAACAACAATGACAACGGCAACAAAAAATAGCTGGGCGGTGCCCATGGCTCAAAGGAGTAGGGCACCAGCCCCATATACTGGAGGTGGCGGATTCAAACCCAGTCCCGGGCCAAAAACTGCAAAAAAAAAAAAGCTGGACATTGTGGCAGGTGCCTGTAGTCCCAGCTACTTGGAAGGCTAAGGCAAGAGAATCGCCTAAACCCAAGAGTTGGAGGTTGCTGTGAGCTGTGATGCCATGGCATTCTACCAAGGACAACATAGTAAGACTCTGTGTCAAAAAATTAAAAAATAAAAACAAACAAACAATCTAACTGGGCATTGTGGTGAGGTCCTGTAGTTCCATCTACTCACAAGGCTAAGGCAAGAGGATCATTCAAGAGGCTGGGCATGGTGGCTCAAGCCTGTAATCTTTAGCACTCTGGTAGGTTGATGTAGGTGGATTCCCTGAGCGCAGGAGTTTGAGACCAGCCTGAGCAAGAGCGAGACCCTGTCTCTAAAAATAGCAGGTGCTTGTAGTCCCAGCTGCTGGGGAGGCTGAGGCAAGAGGATCACTTGAGCTCAGGAGTTTGAGATCGCTGTGAGCAATGATGCCACCGCATTCTACCCTAGGGTCACAGAGTAACTCTGTCTCAAGATAAAAAAACTCTTGGGATTATTCAAACCCAAGAGTTTGAGGTTGCTGTGAGCTATGATGACACCATAGCACTCTACTTAGGGCAAAAGAGTGAGACTTATCTCAAAAAAAAGTTGACCTAATTTTCATAGAGCATGTACCACATGTACTCAGTGGACATTCTTTATGTTGTCTATCTCCATATGTTGACCTGTTTGTTACAGTCCCTTGGGTGGTCAACTTACAGAGTTCTACTCTACTAAAATTATCAAGTGCTAATACCTAGTCCTTACTCATATTTTCCATTGGTGCAAACAATGTTTCTTTGTTTTCTTCTAATTCTTTTTTTTTTTTTTTTGAGACAGAGTGTCACTCAGTTGCCTTGGGTAGAGTGCTGTGGCATCATAGTTCACAGCAACCTTCAACACTTGGGCTCAAGCAATCCTCTTCCCTCTACTTCCTGAGTAGCTGGGACTACAGATGCCTGCCACAGTGCCTAACTAGTTTGGTTTGGTTGATTTTTTGGTAGAGACAGGGTCTTACTCTTGCTCAAGTTGGTCTCAAACTCCTGAGTTTAAGCAATCCACCTGCCTTGGCTTCCTGGAGTGCTGGGATTACAGGCGTGAGCCACTGCACCTGGCCCTGAAGGAGTAATCCCGGATCCCCTGAGGAATTCCTCATTACATTTAGTTGTCATGTCTATGTATTTAGTTTCTTTAAGCACTTACCTTCTTTCGTTTCTTCCCAATCTTTACCTTCATCCTTGGGCCTTCCCTTCGCTTGTCTCCTTTGCTCCTTTAGCTTTTCTCTTAAGACAGAGTTTTAATACCATTTCACTCTGGTCCCTGCAGGTGTCAACCAACCTCAAAGAGCAGGATGGATCTTGACGTGGTTAACATGTTTGTGATTGCGGGTGGGACACTGGCCATCCCAATCCTGGCATTTGTAGCTTCATTTCTCCTGTGGCCTTCTGCGCTGATAAGAATCTATTATTGGTAAGCTAATTTTGTAATGATATTTTCACGAGAATCCTAGTATTATCATCTGTTCTGCTTGTCTCTTTTGTTGTTATTGTTCAACATTGTATCATAAAGTATTTCAAACATACAGACAAGTTAAAAGGCACGGTGGCACCCGTAGCTTAGCAGCTAGGGCATGGGCCATGTATACCAAGGCTGGCGGGTTTGAACCCGACCTGGGCCACCTAAAACAACAATGACAACTACAACAACAACAAAAATATAGCCAGGCATTGTGGTGGGTGCCTGTAGTCCTACTTACTTGGGAGGCTGAAGCAAGAGAATCTCTTAAGCCCAGGAGTTTGAGGTTGCTGTGAGCTGTGATGCCAAGGCACTTTACCCAGGGCAACAGCTTGAGACTCTGTCTCAAAAAAAAGAGAAGTTAAAAGGCACCCATCCTCTTTTGAATTTGGGGAGTATTCTTGAAGAATTGGTGGCAGCTTATCACCAGATAAGGTCTTTCAGGTTTCTGATAGCATCTTCACCCACCCACACTCCCAAAGTCACTGATTCTATCTTCAAGCAAATATTAGCATGTTGATGGAAACTCCTTTGGCATTTTCTTGGTCATTGGATTCTGACCCTGTCATGTCCTGACAGGTGCAGTGATGCCACTAAAAACGTGAATTAGAAAGATGAGGACCATTGAGCTGGTATTGGTAGGACAGAATGTTTTTAGAGTTGTTCTAGAAATGTTCATTGGCAGAGTTAACAGAAAGAAAAAAATTTTTCAAAAATATGTCATTCTTGTACCACCTTTATGATGGGTGCCCTCTCTGCACCACCTGTCCTTTTCTTTGGTATTTCCTTTAGAGTGAGTTACTTTTTTCTTAAACCTTAAATCAATTTATTTAAAAAGTGATATAAATATCACAACCTTAAGTGGGAAGCTTGCCATACTTTTCCATAAATAGTAAATTGATTTTTAAAAGTAAAAATAAACACAATGACATTAAACAATGATGTCACAAAATTCAAGCCCAGATACTACTGCCTACCAAAGGTTCTATGTCTCCTTTCTCTTTGTTCCAAAGCATAAGAAAGGCTTGAAAGATTTAGCAACACTAAGCAGAGCCTTTTTCCTTGATGGAATCAGAAAGTTAACAGTTGAAAACAATGTGACGTTCTCATGATGTTGTCATGAGACTTCATTGACTTTTCATGCCACTGTCCATTTATCAAATAAAATCACCCTTTCTACCACAGCATCCCTTGATGAAGGGGATACTGAAACTGGCCTGGCTTCTCTCTGTGCTAGGTAACCCTACTATGATTTAAGGAGGACTTCAAGAGTTAGAACTTCTATACGCAGAGAGAAGAATGTAGGGAGCTTGTTGTGCCCTTTATTTGCCCTCCTTTCTGGCTCCCTTTTGTTTCACTAGAGGGTAGAAATTTCTGCCTGCCAGGCAGGCTCTGATCCTTGAGAATAAACTAATTGAATGGAAGAGAGCTTTTCATCTTTCACCCTTGCTCTTTGGTTGTGGAGTGTGTGTGACCCCTTTAGAGGGCACCCAGGACCCACCTTCTGTACTGACAAAACTGAGACTCCAGCTGCTGAAATGCAGTGCTGGTAACAGGGGTTCTGTGATTTGGGGGCCAAGCCTCCTGGGTGGCCCCTGACATGGAAAGGCCAGAGTTCTCTGCCCCTTCTCATGGCCCTGCTGAGGCATCATGGACCTCCACACACAAATGCCACTTGTATTAAGTCAAATGGAAGCCAAGAATGCAATTCACAGATGTGGCCTGTAACCATGGATATGGCTTTGTACAGAAATGTGATTATATAAAGGCTAATTCCACCCACCTCTTAGAGAAACCAGCCTCAGTCCTGCATGGTCCTCCAATCCCCACGTTCCTTGGGTTGTCAAGGAGAAGGCTTTCAGAGTCAGTATGTTACAGTAATTTTGATACTTCATTTTTAAAGAAAAAAATAAGTTCATAGCAAATAATTTTTTATGAAGTACTTTTTTATTAAGTAATTTTTATAGTACTTTTTTATTAAGATTCACATAACATAAAATTCACCATTTTAAAGTATACTGTTCAGTATATTCACAGTGTATTGCAGCCACTGTCTAGGGTCTGGACATCGCCATCTCCCCAAAAGATCCCCCATGTGGTAGCAGTCACTCCCAGCTTCTCTCTCCCTTCATCCCCTTGGCAACCACACATCAATCTGCTTTCTCTGTTTGGATTTGTCTAGTATGGGCATTTCATATAAATGGGGTCAGAACACGTATATCTGGTTTCTTTCACTTAGCATGTTTTCGGGGTTTATCCATGTTGTAGCATGTGCCAATACTTCATTCGTTGTTATGGTTGAATAATATTCTATTGTGTGGTTATACCATACTTTGTTTATCTACTTATCTGTTGATGGACACTTGGGTTGCTTCTTTACTTTGGGGCTATTATGAATAATTCTGCATAGCAAATAATTCACTTTTATTAATGAACAGATACCACAGAAAACCCAGAGAGCCTCCACAGATCAGAGCATTCAGTCCCTCATTAATTAAGTGGCAGCACAGATGCATGTGATCTTAAATCCTGCCCATGCCTGTCCCCAGCTCTGAGCTGTGGCTAAAAGACAAAGATGATGCTCTTTATTTTGTGAACTCAGGCATGCAGGCCAAAAAGAAAACTCAGTTGATTGGAGTGGATGAAAATCCTAGAAAACCTTTCAGCCTATGCCAGGTGGCATTGTGACATGGGGGATTATGAGTATAGTAATAGAACCCATGACGCCATTGCAAAAAACTGTCAGAAAGCCTAAGTGGCTTCTCCCACCCCACTGAAATACAGTCTGTTTCCTCCACATTGCCTCACTGCAAGGGACCTTTACACCGTGATTGCCGTAGGATGAGCAACTGTACCATGAGTCATTTATATCCCTTTCCACGTCTGTTCCTCCAAAAACCTGCATGTGCTCAGTTGCCAATAATGACCACCAGTGGGGTCACCTTGCAGGCTTGGGTGGGGACCTGGGTGGGTCAGGTTAATTTTCAGGATTGCTACACAAACAGGAACAGCAGGCAGCAGAGGTAGCCTGGCAGCCAACCCTCCTTCCCCTGTGCCCTGCCATATGGTGAAATTATCACATGGTGCAAGCTCCCGGAGTTTCCTCTGTGAGATCTTCTCAGCTCCTCAGGGAACAGGAACAGATGTCCTAGTAGGCCACAGTCAGTCTTCAGAGCAGCTCTCTGGCCTAAGTGTCTCTGGAGCATGGCCAGCTCGTTTCCACTGCAGTGTGTACTAGCCTTGCTCCTGCAGGAGGAACCACATGATTTGCCACGAGTTTACAGAGCGCCACAACTGGGGACGCTACAGCCACTGTGGAGGACGTCAGGGCCAACTCATGTTTTTATCGTGTAATGAAAATGCCAGGACTATTCACAGGATAAAAAAGACTGAGATTTTCCGAGTTTTGTTTTCCCAAAGCAACTCAATTATTTAATCAAGATATGAAATTATAGCAGGCAATTCACTTATATAAATATGAGAGAAAAAAGGAGTAAGAATTGGGAAAGAAGTAATGAAACTGACATTGTTTGCAGATGACATGATTGTGTAAATAGAAAGTCCAAAAGAATCTATAGATAATTTGTTAGAATTAATAAGTAAAGTCAGTAAGATTGCTGAATACAAGATTAGAAAACAAAAACCAGTTTTATTCCTATATACTAGCAACAAATAAGTAGAAAATGAAAAAATAAGCTGGGCATAAGGTACATGCCTATAGTTCCAGCTACTTGGGAGGCAGAGACAGGAAGGGTGCCTAAACCTAGAAGTTTACGTTCAGCCTGGCCAACATAAGCAATACTCTATCTTAAAAAAAGAAGAAAATATATTAATGATACTATTTACCATAATGTCAACAAACATAGAATAGCTAAGATTAAATCAGAAAAACAATGTGGAAAACATCTATACAGAAAATAGGAAAGTATTCATGAGAGAAATTTAAAAAGTCTCATGAATACTTTCTCATTTTCTAAGTAGATGGAGGGACATGAAGTGGGCATCTCTGGTGCTGGTCATATCCTGGATCTTGATCTGGGTGCAGATATGTGGGTTCGTTCACTTTGGGCAGATTCTCCAGGCCATACCCTTGTAGTTTATACACTTTCCTATGTGGTTTATATTTCAATTAAAAATTTCTTTGAAAAACAATAACTAAGAAGGTAGAGAAATTGGACTCTGATATACTGCTGGTAGCAAAGTGAAATAAATGGTACATCTGCTTTGGAAAACAGTTTGGCAGTTCTTTGTAGGTTAAAAATGGAGTTACTACATGACCCTGAAGTTTTTACTCTAGGTATTTAACCAAGAGAATTGAAAACATATATCCAGGCTTGGTGCCTGTAGCACAGTGGTTACGGTGCCAGCCACATACACTGAGGGTGGCAGGTTCAAACCCAGCCCCGGCCAGCTAAACAATGACAACTGCAACAAAAAATAGCTGGGTGTTGATGCCAGGCACCTGTCATTCCAGCTATTTGGGAGGCTGAGGCAAGAGAATTGCTTAAGCACAAGAGTTTGAGGTTGCTGTGAGCTGTGACACTACAGCATTCTACTGAAGGAGACATAGTGAGACTTTGTCTCAAAAAAAAAGAAAGAAAAAAGAAAACATACATCCACATTAAAAACTTGTATATGATTGTCCATGGTGGCATTATTCATAATAGCCAAAAAGTAGTAACAACCAAACATATCAACAACATCACTTCTCAGCATTTTGGCTAAGATCAAGTGTAGTATCTGTTTTTATCAGTTTAATATGTGATATGTCTTCTACCCAAATGCACATCAACAGATGGCTGGATTAACAAAATGTGGCACATCCATGCAGTGGGATATTGTCTAGCCTTTAGAAGGAATGAAGGAATGCTGGCATTCCTCCTTTCTTTGGGATGCCATGTCATCTCCCTGCTCTGCCCTCTTCTCTCCCCTCACCCCGCCATCTTCCCTTCTCT